GGACTTTAAGAGGACTTTTGGTGAATAAGATCAAGACTTGCTTGGTCTTTCTGTCTCTCTCATCTTGTGTCTTTCTCTGTCTCTCTCTCTTCCTCTATTACTTAAGACCCACCTAGGCAAATCGGGGAGGGAAATTGTTGGGGCAAACTCCCTTGATGAATCTTCTACTTCTCTGAACTCTGGACTTGAGAAGAATTTCACTGCATTTAAAAATTCTAAGGAATCTGTTTATTTTCACCCTTCAGGAGTGTGGGTTTTCATCTTCAGTTGTGTGGGGGGTTTTTTCCCCCTCACAAATCTTTGGACCGCAGGTTGTTACAATTAAGTAACTCGAATCAAATTTATACACACCACAGAGCTACCACATGGTTACCGCATATAGTACAGGAACGGATAAAAGGTACCACTCAAAAGTCACGGGAGCAAGCCCCTCAAAGCTGTCGGACAGAACTTGGGGCAGAATGGGGACAGAGTCTCTCATGTGAGCTGCGTCTCAATTTGATTCCCAGCTGGGCTGCTTGCTAGTTGTGAGGCTATGCAAGTTCCGGTGCCTGTTTCCTACCCTGCAGATGGAAACAAGAGTTCCTAGTCCAGGAGAGCTGGGCAGGTTAAAGGAGAAAATGTCAGTCATATACTTTCTCAGCCCTGGCCTAGGAATCACTGAAGTGGACACTAAATATTGACTTTTCTCATTATAAAAATCACCTCCTTGGCTTTGTCATCCCATTTCCTGTTTAACAGCAACCGAAGGAGCCACAGGAACTACTCCTCTCCACTGGAGTCTGGCTATTTTCGAGGCTCCATTTGGAATGGGATGGCCCCAGCAGTCCAGGGAGTAGGAGGGTGGGAGGGAGGCATTATTCTCTGGGTTGCAGCTGTGGCAGCCCGTACAGTATCCCCCACATGCCAGATGAATGAAGCTGAGGGCCAGATCTGGGATGTGGGCCAGAGGTTCCCCACCCTGATTTATAGTGTGGACAGAGATGTGGGTGTTTTGTGAATATATTTTGATGATGATATAAAAAGAGAGAGGAGAAAAAAAACACCATTCCTTAAAAATGTGCTGAGGGAGGGAGGCTGAGATTAGAGCAGCCTGACTGTTAGCAGTAGCAACTCGTTAGGAAGAGGCCTGGGGAACAGCAGCCTGTGAGAGGCAGTGCCCCCGGGGAAGGCAGTGAATTGTGAATGAGGCCCCTGTAAGCCAGTGACTGGGGGGCAGATTAGGCTTGCTGGCCCCTCTGCAGGTGTGCAAATGGGGAGGTTCGGCCTACATTTTAACCCCTCTGGTCCCCAAGAGCAGATAAAGGGAGCACTGGGTTCACTCGGCTCTGCGCAGGTCCTGAGTCCCATGCTTCGCCAGCACTCCCAGTTACTAGAAACGGGCTAGACTTTGCCTTTAGGGTCAGGCCCAGGTCACTGTCAGGAGGCAGAGTATAGGAACATTAACCTGGATGGAGTTTGGAAAAAAACCACGTTACGGATTTACTTTCAACCTTTCAGCCAACACATTTGAGAAGGCTCCCAACTCTTGAGTGGAAGGGGCCTGGACTGGAAATGAAGGCTCTCTCTGAAATGTTCCCCTCCCAGCCAAGGAGGAGCCAGGCACAGCCTTCTTTTTATTTTTTTTAACCTCACGAAATGTCAGGCACAGATCCCCTGGCTTATTGTATTTCATCTGGGAAAGAACCTCAACCAGGTTTCCTACGACCCAAACAGATCTTTGAAAGCAGAGATTTATTCTGTAAAGGTGAGTCCACTAGACAGACATTGTGCTGAAGCATGCAGCACATAAAATCACATGAGTCTGTAAACACTTTTCTCCCACGGGAAGGGCAGTGAGCAAACACTGTCGTGCCAATAGCCCATAGTATCTGACAAAACGATCTGGTTCTTTGCCCTCGCCTCACACTGTCCCTAGCTTTAGGTCCTCTGTTCAAACCCACCCTCATCCTCCTCCCCAGCATTCCCCTCACCACACCAGGCTCATGTTTGCATTTAAGTTATTGCTTCTTCTGGAATCTGTTTGCTCTTTGATGAGTGCAAGCCTCTCCATCCTTTTGCTTCTTCTGGAATCTTCTTACACTTTGATGAGTGTAAGCCTCTCTGTCTCTTTGCTTCTGGAATCTTCTTGCCCTTTGATGAGTGTAAGCCTCTCCATCCTTTTACTTCTCTGGAATCTTCTTGCCCTTTGATAAGTGTAAGCTTCTTCATCCTTTCGCTTCTTCTGGAATCTCCTTGCCCTTTGATGAGTGTAAGCCTCTCCATCCTTTCACACAGCCAGTTCTCTGAGGAAACAGCCCCAGATATCCCAGCCCACCTCCCCATTATTGTCTGGCCTGGGGCTCTGGGCATATATAGCTTGGGAGTACACGCTCCTGATCTCCAAATCTCTCTACTCATCCAGAGGACCCAGAAAACTTGACTGATGAAAGACTGAGGAAGAAGTCTGAAGGAGAAAGGTGAGTCTCTCTGACTGGCTGCCCCTCCAAACCCAGAGCAAGGGGACTGTTGGAGCATGCCCTGTGAGGCTCTTTTCCCCCACATAAGTGCCTGTTTTTATCTATTTGCCTCACCCAAACACAGATCACCCTCACTCCCAAGGCCAACGCTTTGAGCCTATAGTGATTTCCGCCAACAAGCAGAACTCCTCTCACCTTGAGTCCTGGAAGTTCTCTGCTTTACATCTAGGATGAGAACTAAGACTCTGTGAGAGGGCCTCTGGTCTGGATCGCCTGGGGCTAGCTCCTTCAGGGGATGGCAAGAAGCCCCCTGAAGTGAAAGAAAATGGCTTGTTGGGCACTTCTTTTTAAATTTCCTACTGCCTGCCTCAGAGCTCAACAAAAAATGTGTGTACAGTGTGTGTGGGGGGGGTGTGTGGGGTGTGTGTGTGTGTGTGTGTGTGTGTGCGCACCATGGCAGGAGAATTCACACAGGACTCTCGCTGTTCATTCACTTTTCTCTGGAGGAAATAGAAATGGGTGTCTATTCCCAGCAGTATTAGGGAGCAGCAATGGTGCCCCTCACCATCTCTGTGTCCAGCTTGCTCAGAATGCTTTTCCTAACAGTGTGGTTAGAAGGATCCTCTAAGTTAGATCGCTGCCTCTGACTCCCTCCTACTCCCCACCTGGTGCCCACAAGAATAGTGCGTTCACTTGATGTTTGGTGACATTGTACATATTCTTAGCAGATAAGGAAGGTTGAGGCTGTCGTGACTCAGGGTGCTGGTGTTTCACTTTGACAAAGATCAAGGTTTCTCCTCCTCCACAGTTCTGCTTTTTGATAATCTGGCAACTGGCAAAAACTCAGTCATTGCTTTGGAGGGCCCTACCTCAGCATTTGTCAGGGGCTGGGCCTCATAAAACTTGGGTTTTCTTTGAGATCCTGCTGAAAAATGGATTCTGCATTGTGGGTTCAGGCTCCTCACACCCTGGGAAGAGATTGTTGCCTAGGAGTATAGGGGAGCCTGTTTGTAGACCAAATGTGTTAATTATAAATGGTTCTTATCTTGTCATTAAAGCAGATCTGGCAGGCCCGAGACTTGGCAGCCCTTGGTTAGCAGTTAGTTCCATGCTACTGTACTGGCTGGGCAGTCATAAAACTATATCTCTTTTAAAAATGATCCATCATGTATACCAACGGCCTCCATCGGCCCAATTGGTCTGACTTGATGGTCCAGTCTTGGGCTGCTCAGGTACTGGATTTCATTTCTGTCTGCAGCTTCAGGCAGGGTTGTATGCAGAGAGATTGGGGCACCCTGTGCCCTACTGCATGGACACCACCCTCCTTCCTGCTGGAAACCAGCCATCTAGTTCATGTCGTGGTTCTGTTCCCCACTCTGTCAAGCTTTGCTAAGGGCTACACTGCAAGTTAGGAGTTCCTAGTAAGATCCTGGGGCATGACTTGCAGGCTTTCTTGCACATTAACAGGAGTCTCAGGAGGCCAAAAGCTCCTGTGAATGGGAGCCACTGTGCTGGGATGAGGCACACAGGGTAGATATTTTTGAACTGATTCTCTGTAGAAGACACTTCGGGAATTTTAGGCACCAGGAAAGAAGGATTGGGAAAACAGAGGCAGGGTTTCCCAATGTCCCAGAAGACCCCCAAATTGACTGTACTGGCTCCCCACTTGCATGGTGCTGAGCCCCCTGCTCCACCGTGGCAGCGGGGTAGGCTGAGAGTCTTGGTAGAGTGTTTTGCAAGTACTAGGCAGTACACATGTCTTGGCAGGCCCCTTAGATAGCTTAGAATCTACATAGAACCCTAGAAGTCTTTACTGTTTCCAAAGCTTCAATTGGCTTCCCTTTGATTTAAATGTCTCAAAAACAGAGAATAGACCCAATGTTCCACTGACACAAGAACAGAAATCTGGGAATCAAATCCAGACACTGCTCATTGATTCACTTTTAACAGTTGAGCATTTTATATTGAACGTTAGTGCTAGTGCTAAGCTCTCATATAATAGGTAGGTATTATATCCCCATTTTATAGATAAACAAACTGAGGGTCAGGCACATTAATCTTGAAGTAGAAGCACTGGAATTCAAACACAGACTAGGACAGAGCATGAATTTTGAAGTCAGACTATAGAAATATTCATTGTTTTATAGACAGATGTGAAAAATTAAATCATGTTAATTTTTTTTTTTTTTAGTTTTTGCTTTTTTGAGACAGTGCCTTGCTATGTAGTACAGGCTGACTTTGAACTCATGATCCTTCATGCCTTAGTGCCTCCACCCCGCCCCAGTTCTGGGATTAGAGGTGTGCACCACCAGCCCTGGCTTGGCAAGTTTCTTTTGTATCTGGAGGGGACCTAGGCCCTGCCTGGGACAGCAGCTCTGTAGCTCAGAGGAGAGGTGCAGAAGAAGGTGCTGGCAGCACACAGAAAGTGAGTGAAACTCGGGGAGAGGAGAACACCAGCCAGAAAGACTCACTCAAGGCCACCCAGCCATCAAGGGCAGAGCGAGGCTCAGTCAGGAGCTCTTTCTTCCCCCACTGCTGCTCCTTTGGCTGCTGGCAAAGTGGAGCTCTCAGCAGCCTCCACGCCCAAAGCTGCTCCACCCTTTCCTCATCCCGAAGTTGTCACTTTACAGTCTGATGGGAGTTGTTTCCCAGGTAGCAGCTACAGGATTGACAATTAGAGAAATGTGTGCTGAGTAGTAACTCATAGCTGGCTGAGTGAATTCGGGGATAAACAGACAGCTCTAGGGCTTTCAGCAGCCAGTCGTCCCTGGGAACCTTGCTCCAAAGGCTCCCCCCATAAGCCTTTCCTCCTCAGAAACTCAGTGCTGGCTACGACGATGAGTTTCCAGAGCGGTGACTGGCATTTGACAAAGGCTGTCCCTCTCCAAAACGGTAAGGTTTGTCTCTTTCAGCTCTCTAACTTGTTGCTTTCTCTTCCATGGAGACTTCAGGCCTTCATGCTCTCCTGCCTGCCCCCACCCACCCACCCACCCACCATGGCATTGCATCTTCCATTGGCTCTCTATGTGTGCACAATAAAATCATCTTTCTGGAAAGAATGCCATAATGGCTTATATGCTCTATTTTAGACCTCCATTTCAGGAATCAGGAGTCTTAAGACAAAGGAACACATTTCTAACTGAAAAAACTCAAACATCAGCCAGCAAGTGGGTGGGTTAATAAAAAGACACTGGGAGAAGGCACCTTTCTGGCACTCCTGAAAGCACACTCCTGGCTCGGTGTGTCAACACTCTCATTTGGAAACCAGTATCTATAGCTGGGAAAGTCTCACCGACCCTGACACGGTTGGGTGGAAAGGGCATAGGCTCTGGAGCCAGACTGTCTGCAGTCACATTCCAGTTTTGTCACTTACTAGCTCTAAGATTTTGTATAAGTTAGTAATGCTTGGTGCCTCAGTTTCCTAGTTCTACAAAGCAGGATACGTATAATACCTAACTCACACACTCTTACAGGGATGAACTTAGATAACTTGGACACACGTAGTCACTTAGCAGCATGCCTGGCACGATGGGAGGCTCTTAGGGAATGGTATCTAGTCTTGCCATTTCCTCACTAAACATACATAACCCTTCATGTCCCTGAAGTATGTAGGCCATTTGGAGGAACTCAATACAGCTGAAATTATTGAGCAACTGCTGTGTGCTCAGCCTTGAGCTTTGGATACTGTGGGAAACACAACAGAAGTCCACGAAGGAGGAGCCTTCTTGGCAGGATGTCTTAAGCTTCCTCTCAGAAGCCTCATCTGGAAGCCATGTGTAGAGGCCCAGGGCTCTTTCTTACCTAGAACAGCAAGGAGTTTAAACTCATGGGCTCTGCAAACAGGCAGGCATATGTTAAATTGTTCTCTTTGCCTCTTGACTGTGATGTGCCCTTGGGCAAGGCACACAACCTCCTCATGTCTTGGTTTCCTCATCTGTACAATGGGCATCACAATTACATCTTAATACATCATGTATTCAGTCACTAATATACTAAATCAATTAGATTTATAATGATTGCTTTATACAGTCATCTCTTTTAATCACATGCAAAAAAGGAGTTATAAAAATACATTTACCTTTAAATATTACATTTACCAGTACTATTTTTTTATTTCTTCATTCACATTCAGATTACTATGTAGTGTCCTTTCATTTTGGCCTGAGGGATTCTCTTTACCATTTCTTGTAGTGTGGGTCTCCTAGCAACAAGCACTCTCACTTTTTACCTGGCAATATTTCATTTCTCTTTTTTTTTTTTTTTGGTACCAGGGATTGAACTTGGGACCTTGCGCTTGCAAGACAGGTGACAGAACCACTGAGCTAAATCCCTGGCCCTCTGTTTCATTTTGGGGGAATTGTTTTAACAGAGAGAATTCTTGGTTGACTATTTTTTCTTCTGAGTACTTTCAATATGTCTTCCCACTGTCTTCTGACATGTGTGTGTGTGTGTGTGTGTGTTCTTTGTGGTCAGGGGATTGAACCAAGGGCCTTGTGCATATGAGGCAAGGCTCTACCATGAGCCACACTCTAAGCCCATGTTTTCTGATGAGAAGTTAACTGTTAATCTCCTTGAGTTTCCCTTGTATGTGATGGACCACTTCAGTGTCTCTTTTGGGAGGTTCTCTTTGCCTTTGGCTTTCAGCAGTTTGATTATATTGTGTCTAGGAGTGGATCTTGTTGAATTTATCTTACTTGGAGTTGGTTGAGCTTCTTGAATGTGTAGGTTAATATTTTTAATCAAATTTGGTGAAATTTTGGCTATTATTTAAATATTCTTTCTACTTTTTTCTCTCTCTCCTCTGACATATCCATTAAGTATATTTTGGTATGCTAGATGGTTGTCCCACAGATCTCTGGGGGCTCTGATCATTTCTCTGCCTTTTTTCTTTGTTTCTCACACTGGATAATAACAATATCTTCAATTTTGCCCATTCTGACTTTTGCCTGTTCAAATCTGCCATTGCCCTGTCTAGTAAATATTTCAGTTATATTTTCAACTCCAGGTTTATTGTTTGTTTGTTTGCTTTGTGTTAAGACAGGGTCTCGCTATGTAGTTCAGGCTGTCCTTGAGCTCACTATGTTCCCCAGGCCGGCCTCAAACTAGCAGCAATCCTCCTGCCTCAGCCTCCCAAGTGCTGGGATTATAAGCATGCACCACCATGCCCCGCTAGATTTATATTTTTAAACAATATCTGTTTATATTTCTATTTATTGAGATAGCATTCTCATACTTTCCTTTACATCTTAGCCATAGTTTCCTTTATCTTTTTGAACATATTTTAAATAGATGATTTATATCTACCTAAAAAGTCCAATAAAAAGGCTTCCTCAGGGCAGTTTCTATTAATTGGATTTTTCCCTGTGTATGGGCTATTTCTTTGCAAATCTCCTAATTTTTGGACAGTTTGAATATTATATGTGGCAATGCTGAAAATCAGATTCTCCTTTCTCTCCAGGGTTTGCTGTTGTTGTCACTTGTTGTAATAGTAATTGTTTGTGTAGTGAAGTTCTATTGGAACTTCTCCCAGAGGTGGTTGATCCTAGCTCACAACTTCAGTTTCCAAAGTATAACTCCCCCTACTGTTTGCTTTGGCTGCCCCACAGATCTTTTGATGAAATTTGAGGCCAGTCTTTGGAGGAAGTTATAAATATCAGGCTTGTCTTGATGCTTCTTAGATCTTAGCTCAACAATCTCTATTCATATAACTCATAAATCATAAGGGCAATCAGCATTCATTATCTCAGAAAGAGAAAAAAATGAGAGATTTATTTGGGATTAGAGATCTCATTCTATTCTTCTAAGAGGCTTGAAAAGTTCTGCTAATGAGAATAAGCCACAATCCAGAAGGAGAATTGAAATCCATACCACCCAGAAAAGATGCTTCTAGACCTCTCTTTCCATTCCCAAACTTCTCTACTTTTGAAGTCTGGGGACCACCTCCTGCAAACGAGAGTTGTCACGGTCTGGAGGTTTGGCCAGGCAGGGCTGCCTGTGTGAAGGAGGCTCTGTCCCCTTAATGGCAGTCTGTTGATAAGCAGGGCCTGGAGCAGAAGGACGGGACAAATAGTCTGAAGAATGGAGGAGAGTGTCTCCACTACTGGAGGCGGGTAGGAGGGGGAGAAAGAGTGGGAGGGGGAGACAGGCAATGAGACAGAGAATGCTCCTAAGTTCTATGCCTCTATGGCAGCCTAGAGCAAGAGGCAGCTTGCTTTTTTTGAGTGCATATTTTCACCAAGCCTTTTTGTTTTTGTTTTTAAGTAGTGGAGGTTGAACCCAGAGCCTTGCACATGCTAGGCAACCTCTGAGCTACCCTTCTCTTTGGACATAGGATATCACTCAGTTATCTAGTCTGGCTTTGAGCTTGTGATCCTCCTGCCTCAGCCACCAAGCAGCTTTTAATATTGTTATTTGTTATTGTTATTTGTTTCTTGAAATGTTCCTCAGCTATCAACCTTACCCATTCGCTCAACAAATATTTACCAGGTGTCAAGGCACTAGGGATACTGTGGTGAATAAGACAGAGCTTTCACGGTTATGGGGGAAACTAATGTATACAGAATGATATTATAGTGAGAGCAGGACTCTGACTGAGGGACAGCTGGGGAGCTGGAACCCCAAGGAGGCCCCTCACTTTAACCTGGAGTTGGGGTAGGAAATGTAATTCCGCATGGTCTGTGGCAAGTGGTAATTGCTGACTTGAATCCCACACAGATTTATCAATTGTGGTTGGCAGGAGGAGTGTGTGAGGGTGCAAGCATCCTACAGAAAAGGAGCAGTGAACGCAGCTAGAAGGTAGAATTTCTGGTGCATTCTAGTACAATTTGAAAGTGGAAAAATCACTCTGGAAAGTGGACATAAGGCATATAGAGGCTTCAGAAGGAAATGAGATTAGAAAGCTAAGTAAGTTCGGATCACAAAATGCCCTGGCTGCTGTAAGGAGGCATCTGTGCTTTATCTTAAAGCTTATGAGGGAGTCAGTGAAGGATTTCACAGGGGAATGACCTGCAGAGTGTAGGAAGGTGGTTGACAGTGCGACGTGAAATCCTGTCATTTGTGACAACATAGATGGACCTAGAAGACATCACATTAAGTGAAATAAGCCAGGTGCAGAAAGAAAAACGCAGCATGATTTCACTTACGTGAAATATAGAGTTGTTCTCACACAAGTTGAGAGTAAAATGGTTACCAGGACTGGAGGGTTAGGAGGGGATGGGGCAAGTTTGGTTCATGGGTAGTGCTGAATTCTAGTTGGATAGGAGTAAGTTCTGGTGTGCTATTGCTCAGTAGGGAGACTACATAATGATAATATACTACGCATTTCAAAAAGCTAGAAGAAAGACTTTTTAATGGTTTCACATAAAGACATGATAAAATGTTCAAGGACATAGATATGCAGCTGGTTGCCACCTACTATATACATGAATCAAAACATCACACTGGGGTAGGGTGTAGCTCAGTGGTAGGGCACTTCCATAGCAGGCTCAAGGCCTTAGATTCCAACCCAGCACCACAAAAAAGCCACTCTGTATGTACAAATATTGTGTCCATCAAAACAGCATTACTGTCAAGGGGCACTTATTAAAAGTGCAAATTCTTGGGGCCCATCTCAGGCCTGCTGAATCAGAAACTCGAGACGACCCCAGCCATCTGCGTCTTAACAAGCTCTTCATGTGATTCTGACACCTGCTGAGGTTGGAAAACTGCTTCACTAGCCAGACTACATAGGTTATAACCCTAGCTCTCCTACTAAATAACCTTGGGCAAGTTCTTTCTGAGCCTCAGTTTTCTCCACGGTAAAATGGGGATTGTAAAGTTGTTATGAGAATTAAGTACATGAATGTATATGAAGTGCTTAGAAAAATACCAAGTCTGTAGTAACCTCTCAATAA